TGTCGAAATGTTAGACAGAGGAAAAAGCAAAAGTGCAGTCAGGGAATTCCTAGAAGCCAGGCCTGGTACTCAAACGAGTATGCAATTAACAAACACGTTAATATAGACCAAATATACCAACTAATAAAGGGTAAATCATGTAACCAGAAAGTTTAAAATCCAGGTCAATAGAAAATGGTCAATACACATATGTAAATATGGTTATCAGGAGGCGCAATTATATCACTCATGAAGAAATTTAAATCATTTCACTTTATGCTAAATATTTGGCTGAAGGGAGATGTTGTCCAGAAGGGGGACGACGAAAGCTCCGCAAATAAAACCAACCAGCTCAGAGAACACTATTAATTGCAAATCATCCACCTGAGCTACAAATCTTCTCTATTATTTGATTTGATCCACCTATCTAAGCCTTGGTGAACCAGTCACACCATTAAAGAGACTGGTCCAAAAAGAGAGAAGAAACAGTTCATTAAAGTGTTCTTTAACGGCGAATTCATTCAGCGTTAGCTGCATAATTGCGATCATAAACATAAATATACTTTGTGTGTGTGTGTGTCTACATAGTCCGTCAAATACGAGTGAAAATTACACTTTGTAGTGCCGTTTACATCAGCACATTGATCAATAATCAAACTGTAACTAGAAGGTGGAGACTAGTAAGATTAAACTCATGTTGAATAATATGAAGAATACTCACAAAAATTGTGTGTGTGTGTGTTGATGTGAGAGCATGGAGACAAGTAACCAAATAAATTATGTAACAGGTGAATACATTGAATAAAGAGTTGGTTAAAGTGATGTCAAAAAAAAAGCGCTTACAGAAACAGGCAAGAGAATATTAATGATAATATATATTGATAACAGTTTGGTCGAGAATTCTACCCAAGTTAGGAGAAGGAGTTGTGTACATAAATCCGGATTTTCCATCTGAACTGCTAAGACCTCAACATTGCAAAATCTTCGGAAATATAACGCTAGTGTCCGCCTTTTGACTTGTCAGACAACTTTGAATGAGTTCCCCATACATATTGTGTGGCCAGTGTTGAATATGTATGTTCACTTACAGCACGCCTTATTGATCTATTCTGGCCTTTATCTAGTCAAGCAGGATAATGTTCCTACGTGTCTTGCTCCGCAGGTGTGACTGAATTAGTAGATACACATAGAATAGTCAGTGGTCAAATGCGATAGTTTATCTGTCGAGTTGTTGAAGAACAATACACACCATGAGAACACCAGTCGTAATGTATCAGTAGAGAATGTTGTTTTCAGAGAGTTAGGTGTTCTCTTCTTAAGGATGTCAGTCAATAGGTGACAAATGAAAGCCACATTCATGTATTGCATGTTCGTTGACACAGAGATAGGGGTGTTGATTGGCCGTTTTCGGTTTTATATGTTTATCTGTAAAGTGTGATGGATAGCCATTCTCATGTAGTGTCTTCCTCGGAAGAGTGATCTCTTCTTCCATTGATTCGGGACTGCAGTTTCTTAGGATTCTAGTCGGAAGAGATAATATCAGGCTCCCCTTGCGACTGATGGTTAACAGACTATAAGACTTTGTCAGCTGTCCACTCGAAGTAGGCTTTCTGTATACTCATCTGTTTAAAGTCGCATCAGTTTCCTCTGTTAGTTGAATGTTCAGAAATGAGATTGTCTGTCCGGTCTCAACTTCAGTTGTAAATTGCATGACTGGATTGCTGCAACTGAGAGCTTACTAGACATTGTTTAGGTCATATTTGTTATCATAAATGACAAAAGCATCATCAACGCTCCGTCAGTATAGTAAAAGGCTGTCGATGGACGATTTCAAAGGACGATTTTCCAAATCTGGGATGAAAGTATGTGGAAGTACCGTACTTAGAGGTGACTCCATAGCCACTTCATCTTTCTGTCTGTAAATAATACTACTGGATGTGAGTTTGACGTTAAAGATACATCTAACTAGAATTCCTTTTAATTAAATTCCGTATTCCAATATTCAAGTTGTTGTCCTTCAAGTATCTGCACGTGAAACAAATTGTTTGCGAAATCAGAACATTTGTGAAAAGCGACTCGACAACGAGTTATGTCACGTATTCGTCACCCACTTGCACATCTTTGATACAGTTGACGAATTTTTCGAATGAGAGAAACGGTCGACCTGTATTCAGGTTACACTTTGATGATCTGCTTAGCAAGTGCTACTGGTTTTGATGAGTGATCTTGTAAACTGCTCACAGTAATGAGTCGGCAGCATATAATCACGCCATTGCGCTGAGCTTCCAAATCTCTGGAATAAACTCACATTTTTGAAATCTTAATTTGTGAAACTTATAATCTGTGTTTCTATTCACCTAATATTTGTTCAGCGTTTTAATTTATGGAGTCAAACGGGCTACAAGATGAGTTGTTTGAAGGCTATTCGAGACTCAGACAGTGTGGTTATATTTGTAATCCGCTGTTAATAGTTATAATGAATAAATATATGCGCACCCTGGATTCCATTGCTAGTCACCATCCACCAATATATATCACATGGTTTGGAAGTGGTCATGAAAGACCCTTTTATTCCTAATCATGTCTTCCAGGTTACCGGCCTGTCATTTTACTGACCCATCTATGACAGAAGTAAGAATTCATTCATCATTAAACTTCAGACTAATCGTCCTGTAACCTGAAGGTCTTGGGGTTCGATTCATGGCTGGGTAGCGGATGCGTGCTGTTGAAAAGTACCGAACTAGGCCGTGAAAACTTTCTGTTATATAATATAATATTTTTTGTTGACAATAAATTTGCTGAAAAGAGTCTCTTCGCTGAATCAATTATTTTAATTTCCCGCATGACCTAAAAGGAATTGTCCATCAATATAATAAGATACTAATTACTTCTTGATTCAAATGGAACAGAGGTGTGTCACGTGGCATACTTTCGGTCTCGCTTTAGAGTTCTCGGGCCGCTGGATTCCCTCTCAGGAGCTGAATAATCATGGGACTTACAATGTCCCGAGTTCGATTCCCGGTAGGGTTATGGGAGTACACTACTGATAAGTTGCAAAATAGGATGAAACATATCCCGTTGTTTTTCAATGTTTCTCCAATAGAAGTCATTTCATAATCAGTCATGAAATCAATTACAAATGTAGATTTCGTCCAGAAACAAAACCAGTTACAGAATCACAGTGAAATGCAGGTAGCATTCACTGGACAAATTGATATTCCTCTCTTCCTCTTTTCGGTGCTTTGAAGTCCTAATCTCAAGTCGTGATCAGTGAGATTCAAAAATTGAGGGTGAAGTGGGTAATCATCTATGGCTTCTGTTTGAGGAGACGATACATCTCACAAAGGTAGAATACATTAGTCACTAAATTGCAAATCTAGTGGCAGAAAGGTCAACTAGCTGGCCTTTTAAACTAAAGCTTTGGTATTCGATCACCAGCAGCGGGATCATGGATGCATACTACGGTGAAGTGTCAAACTATGACAAAACAGCTGTCCAGTGTACCTTAATCAGTTTCCAATACTTCTCCAAAATGATGTGAATTCACGACGAAATCCACATAAGTATTAACTAATGCCACGCGTCGGCGACATAGCGATTAGAACGCTCACCGACCATGCACATGGTTAGGGGTTCGATCCCCTGCCACCGACTCACTCCTTTACCTCTCTAGGCCAAAATAATGTTGGTAAAGAGGAAAGGTTGAGCATGAGGCTAGCAACCCCATCCTGTAAAATTAAACACTGCTACAGAAACTTCAAGCCTTCTAGCTTGAAGCCCAATATTCCACTGGGGAACGTGAAGTAATAAAGTGCCTGCAAAATCCAATAACCCTAAATATGAAAATCTACTGAGGAAAATAATAATAATGATAATAGCTTTATTCCAAAACAGTACTTGAGATACAGAATGGAATTCTCAGCATTTCACTACAGTATTGCATCCAGTTAGTAAATTTACAATAAATAAAATTCTACATAGATTATGGGTAATCTCAGTTCATTATGACAACAACATATTGGCTTGTCGGTAGCAAAGCCAAAATTGAACAGTGTTTGAAGGTGTTAGAAAAGTAGATGCTAGCATATTTACTGGCGTAAGCGGTAACAAAAAGGTCGAGATATAGAGAATGTGAAAGAACACAGAAGAATATTTTAAGTAGAGTTTGTAAGGAAAAGAGAAACAAAACAGCACATAACATAAAAGAGAGAGAGGAAAGCAAAAGAAAGAAAGAAAAACTTTATACCTATAAATGATACAATTGTTGTTCTTGGTTTGTTCAAGTTTAAATGATATGAGTTGGAAAGACGAGATCCAATTGTTCTACTGACTATTTAACAAGTTAAAGGTTTCACGCCTAATGCTTTCTTTATCACACAGAACACGAGCTAAGTAGGGTATGGTCGAGTTTTTGTACTTGCTAGTGCGAGCATATAGTTTCTTATATAGGCTTCTGGTTTCGCTTTATGAGATACAAGGGGAGAGTTGTGAATAAAGAAGGTGGTGTGAGTTAGATAGAATGGATTTCGCCCATTTTTCACATGAGTCCAAGTGCCTATCAATCAGAATATTTACAAGCTGGTTAAGTGGCACGTAGCTGCTGACAACCTTTAACATCCTGCGTAATAAGGTAAAGTCTTTCTTCAGTAGCCAGACCTGGAAAAACTAAGGGGGAACAATAGAGAATAATAGGCAGAATACGGGAGTTAACAAATTGTAGAAGTAAGGTTTGGGCTATACCAGCTGAGGGGTTCGCAGAGAAATGCCATCCAACCATAAATTCATGCATTTTTATTTCCGTTTGTTACATACTATGCGCGAAAACACCTTGCGACTACTACTTTTACCCTCGTTCTCCAGTTTCAATTCACCCACATTCAAAAATAACGACCGAAAATTAATAATAATAATAATAATAATAGTCTGTTTCACTGAGCATAACCAATAGTTAAAATACTGAATTTAATGAAACATTTTTTATACAGAAAACTGGGAATTGCATATCAACTCCGTCTACTTACAGTTGAACATAATATAAAATTCGAATTTTTCATCAGACGATTTATTGACATATCAAGCGATATTCACAGAGATATACAACTGCAGGATTCAATCAATGCTCAACATTCAATGCTCAAGATTCAATTTATAACAACAGCGATGTGATGATATAATGTCCAAAATAATTCGAGTAATTCCATGAAAAGAGAATTTATTATAAATCTCACTGATCAGAGTTAAAATATCCAACGTTTACAAGGGAAAGGCGATATCGGAGTATAAATAAGCCTTTCAATTTCTCTTTCCGTTTATTCATTCGAATAACGAAACCAGCTGTGATAGGTGGATTAAGATAATGAAAAAGGAGAAGGAGGAAGAGGGGGGAGGCAAAGAATGAAGAAGTGGTCGTAGTGGTGGTGGTAGTGGAGTATGTATGTATGTATTATTATTATTTTTCTCTTCACTTACTATTGATTCATAATATTTTTAGGAATTAAATAGAATCCGAAAGATAGTAAGTCCTACTGATGTTATTGATCGCTTTTTCTCTATCTCCACTTTTTTGCTTTTTTCGTTAGAAGACAGACATGAAAGGACAGCTGTACATATGTATATATATATATATATATATATATATATATATATGCATGTATACATAAAACAGAACGTCGTGAAGATATACCACCGTGATCTGCTGAGCAGATATAGATAGAAACCAGATATATTGTCCAGGAAATGAGAACAAATAAAATTGAAGAGAAATGAAAGTGATGAGGTGTTTCAGTGAATCAAATTCTGAATTTATTATGGTAATTGATTCGCCATGTACGTCTAATGTCAGGTGAAAAAAACAAACGTATTGGCTGAAGAAGCATCGAAAAAGGGGAAACACAAAAGACAGAGGTGATGAAGTTACACCTAACCAACCAATAATGAATGACAAGCATCTAAATGTATGTGTAAAATAAAAGAAAAAAAATTCAGAGAAGAAAATTCTCTTTTCTTTATCGACGAAATCATCTTCACAGGCTGCCGTACAGTCGTATTTATGCTTACCAAAAAAATATACATCGGTCTATTGTGGAATAATAGGGGGGTGACATAATTACTCAGAAGTGGCTTCAGAAGTGAAAATTAAAAGTTGTAAATTACGTGGTACTCAACGGCACAAAGATAGAAATTTCATAAGGTTAAAATTGCTATTGAGTGAGTGAGAATAAAAGTAGTAGTTGAGTGTCAATTTAACAAGTGTGAACAGGGTGTGAAAATGTACAAAAAAAGCATATAAGAGTGATAAAAGTGAATTAATTATTAAAGCAAAAGCAAACTAAAAGTAAAATTAAAAAAGAAAAGAAAAACTCGAAGTCTTTTCTACAGGGAGCGATTAGTGAAGAGGTTAAGACCAAGCTAGAATAAGAGACTGGACAAACCTTTTCTGTATACAGAGTTCAGGGTTGTATTGACGAATTGCCAGCGCCTCCACCATACACAAAAGCCGAAACCTGACGCTCTTTGTACCATTTGGCTTCACTTTGTAGATGATGTTGAAAGACGACTCTGGTGGAGCTATGTGGCCTGAGTTCACCAAGTGCTCGAGAAGTGAGCTGGTAATTATCTTGCATTGTCGTTCAGATAATGCGAGGATTTACAGGACAACATGGTTCTCGTTCTCTCTATGAAGATAAGTTTAGCTGCATAATAGGTTCTATTAATTGCAGCTTTGAGTCCTTGTCTAGTGACCAGACTTTGTTGATCACCTCTGAACGGCAAGGATATGTAAACATCTTTTTTGAGAGCTGACTGGATGTCCAACATCATCTATAGCGAAGCATATTATAGAGATTGGTCACAAGGTTGATTTTAACAATGCCTTTAAGCCAATATATAAAACAAGGTTGGGCCATATACTTAAATTCATTGAAGCCTGAGCCATAAAAAGACTTAAACCTGTCTTGTGTATCCAAACGATATTTGTTATCACCTTAAACCTGTCGTGGTAATTCAAGTTAGAACCAAGGACCAATTTACTTCATGATATTTTCAACCCCTTCTTTGCCTTGTTTTTTCTCTTTTCATCTTTCTCACCCACACCTTTTGCGTCTCCCTACTCATTATTTGTGACCTTGACCTGTACTGTAATTATTCATGCCTTCTTGCCCTCTATAAAAACTGTGTATGACAAGTACGTGTGTGATCAGAATGTCCGAAATGTGTTGCGCCGATACATTACACGTTTCATATAAACAACGTCTTCTTATTGTGTTGTCGAAATTCATAAAGGAAGCTAAATGCCTTAAATTTGTTAATTTATCTATAGTTATTTACTGACAAAAACTAAAACCTTCTGTTCCATTCCCCCCTCCTGTTATTTGGTTGTTACCATTCATTCATTCAGACGAAGTTTATCATCAGTCTGACCAATGTGAACACACCAATCATGAGTATTCATCACTTCTATGCATGTATTCATTATTATTCGTGATAATTTACCTCCACATTAATTTGTTTATTAGAGACATCACACACTGAAACAGTATTCATAACTGGATAACGTACTTGACAACACAATTTATTCCTTGTTGTTGTTGTTGTTGTTGTTCATAATCATATCGCCAATTATAATCATAGTTCTCTTCACTCCTTCCTATTTGTCGTCGTAGGCATGGTAGTAGAATTTTCCAGATATCCGGATGGACAGGTGGTGAATCGTTCCTATTACATGTAATTAGGTCAACCAAATAAGATAAGAAATCTAGAGAATAGTTCAGCCATCTATCTGTCTCTGTTTGCTTAACAACAGGTTGTGATTCATTAACAACTAGCTGAAAAAGCGCATGGTTGAACTACTGAGTGCAGTGCGATAACACAACTTATTACAATGGTTAGTCACCATCTGCCTATAATCACTCTGTTTCAAGACTCATAATCAGCTGACTGACCAGAAAGGATAATCATAAGGGAACTAAATCAGCGAACCAGGCAACAACCCACTAACTAGCACGTATGCAGACGGAAATAAAGATGAATGGTTTGAATACACGCGTAGGAAACACTTAAGTGATATCATTGGTTGGCAGGACCTCGAGTGGAACGCGGATGGAAGGTGATGAATTGGGTGAAGCTGCTGCAACTGTGAAATAGAGAAGATCATTTGAACAGAAAAGGAAGCAGTCGCGCAATCAGTTAAAAGTGTTGGCATAGGAATGAGGGGAATGAATATGTTCAAGGTTGTGGTGTCGTAGTGAACTGTAATCATATATTGGAGACAAGATAGGCTCAGTGTAAATCCAAAGGGTGGTAAATAATAATAGTAATAATCATGGTGGGAAGCCAACTAGCTGAAAAGCCGTAAGAAGGATGACATATGGCATGAAAGTATGAGGTTATTGTGTTCACGGAGACCTTGTAATAGCTCAAGGTAAATATCGAGGAGTAATTCACAATTTCGCACACACAGGCTAGGTTAATTAAAGTTATATTCACCGTAGCTTCAGCTGTGACTAAGAGACCTAATCACATTCCTTTAGGCAGACTTTCTGGCACTCAGTATACCACCATAAATCTATCTTCTGTTTTAATGCAGTGTTCACTATCCACTAGGTAAGATAAGCTGGCACTACTTATCGATTTAGGTGCTTCTTCTACAAATCGAATGGGCGCATAGTCTCAAGTGTGTGGAGATAAATCCCTCTGAATACGGACTACATAAACAAACGGCTTCACAAAAGCCCTTAAATTTGTACACACACATTGATGATGACCATCCTTTAGTAACATCTTTAAAATACTGTATCAGTCAGTATAGGTCTGGTTGACCATCTCATATATCCATTCTACAACATCAATGATAGCCAAAAGACTTTTTCATTCCAATTGTTCGTGTATCCTAATACAGCTTCCGATATACTTTTGATATGTCGTTACTAGCTGTTGTGTTCTAATATTTATCGATTTACTCCATATCAGATAATTTAAAAGAATTAGTCCCTTTTATAAATTTTGATAGCGTTATTAGAAGATGGAGATTTTCTGAAAAACGATGTGATGTATTTGCGCTATACATTTCGAACAATCTGATCCCTTATACATTTACTTGTCAAATCGATATATATATATATATATATATATATATATATATATATGGAAAAGTTAAATTAAACAGAGTGACAAAAAAAGATTTAAGAATAATAAACACAATGTCTGCGTCGGTGGCATAGCGGTTAGGACGCTCGCCGACCATGCACATGGTCCGGGGTTCAATCTCCGGCCACCGACTCATTCCTTTACCTCTCTAAACCAGAAATAATGCTGTTAAAGAGGGAGGGTTGGGCATGAGGCTAGAAACCCTATCCTGTAAAACTAAACACTGTTACAGAAACTTCAAGCCACTAGCTTGAAGCCCTATATTCCACTGGGGAACGTGAAGGAAAAAACAACACAACGTTTGGCAATCCAATCAAATAAGAATTACCAAGGTAGGTTAAGAGTAATAATAAACTGTTTTCGAACACACAGGGGAGGTCGGGGGCTTACGTTTATGAATAGCTATAGCCTCTGCGTATTTAAATAAGCGCCACTGACCACTATTATAGAAGACGTTAAAGGCTGGGTTAATATCAGTCTTATGGTTCATCTCGATTAGATGTTTAGTCATAGACGAAGTTAGCAGTCTGACACCTGCATCTATTGGTTTACCACAATTCATTTGTTTTTCTAACCATTTTGGGATATGCTCTCTCACCCTCACATGCAAAGCGCGATTACTCCTGCCTATGTATGTGTCCACACACACACACACGAAGACTGGCAAATAGTGTGGGATGTGACATAATCACTTGTGCACTTTAAGGTTTGCAGTGGAGCATACTTTTAGCTTTTTCCACAATTACAAGCTGGGCTGCATAGTAGGTTCTACGGTTGATCGATTCAACCTTTTTCTCACAATCCTACTGTTTATTTCCCCGTTATATTGTAATTTGATGAAAGTCTTTTTCTTAGGGGCGGTATAGATTGTAGGTTTAGAGACTAGCTGACTTCTACACCTGTTTAAAAATTTTAAAGGATATCCGTTTTCAACAAGAGTATCCATCAATATATATATTTTTTCTATTACAACTTGATTCCACACCGTATTCTTGGTACAAGTATGAAATTTTCAGCATGTGATATCGGTAGCCCAAATTTTGCAGGCCGACCATAGATATCAGGTGTGCGTCGGCAGGGGATCGAACCTCGGACCATTTGCATGGTCGGCGAGAGTTCTAACCGCTGTGCCACCGACGCAAGTAAGTGTGTGATCAGATTGTTCGGAATGTAATACGCAAATACATCACATATTAGATAAGTTTATTCGATATAACACACAATGATGTAGCAATAATGAGTGGATGACGTTTCGGCAACACTTTAATAATACTCACTATCATATCGATGTATTCACATTACTTCGTAATTTTCTGTACATATTTTTTCTCTTCCCT